CTGCTGAATGGACCAGAAAGGAGCAGTAAACTTCTCCATGTGCTCTACCCTCTTGTAAGGAAATGCACATTGTTAGACTGACAGCACGTGCAAAGCGACACAAAGCCCTGATACACTCCAAGTACTGTCCCTCCCTACCCAAGTCTGAGAGCCAGTGTCAGTGAGTTTGAAAAAAAAAACCCTTCTCCCCTACCCACCCAGCCCAGGGATCCCTTTAACAAGGTCTTTACACCTGCGGGGCAGGGTAGACTTCTTAAATGTGTAACCACTTTAATTGGTTGTCACAGCAGTTCCCAATAATGACTAGCGATTGAAAGCCATCTAGCTATGACAGTTTGGTCACTGTGATGGGAGCACACAGTGGGCATGTCCTTATTACAGAAACCTCGGACGTATGTGTGCAATTTGTGGGTTTACCTTAAGGTCACCACACATATGCGAAAATGGGTGTCAAGAAGTTATTAAAAGGTATGTTTAAGTAGGCACATTAGTGGTTTAAAAAATTCACGCAACAGTTCTAAAAATGGGAAAGGAAGTGAGAACACAAAAAAAAATGGTGATTGATCATGGAAGAAACAATGCGGCTTTTGCAGATCTATTTGCACTCCACAACTCTAGACATCAGTAAGTTAATTTTAAAAGCTGTTAAGTGGAAATTCACTGAAGGCTCCAGAAGCACCTAGTGAATTGCCTGCTACTCCTTTAGGAATATGCTGAGACACTGCCGGCCTTTTAAACTCCTAATGGTGATAATAGGTCCCGTAGGAAGTTCATGGACAAGTGTTACTATGTAGAACAAGCTGTTCCATGCACTTCGCAACCTCAGCCGCTGAGACAGCTGTTCTCTATACAAAGCGGCTCTGTCGCGGCTTAAAGCAAACCTGTCAAAATCCAGATATTTCAATCTGAGCATTTATAAAAAAAAATAAACCTTCAGAAAGGTTAATTTGCACATCAGTAGATTCGGAGTCATGGGCAGCTAACGCTCTAAGCAACTCTTGAGTTTTCCTATCAATGTTAAAGTTGGGTCCAACCCTTCACTACTCTAGAAGGGTACTATTGCTGTGTGTGACCCTATAGAAGAGATTTAGCCTCATATTTGGGTGATGTAAGCTAGAACTAAACTTTGAATTTTCTAAAAATAATTTTTATAATTAGATGAATTTGCACTGCAACTCAAGTTCCACCCAAAACAGCCAGATTCCACATACTCATTTCTCACAGTATTTAGGCCAGCCTTCCTCAAACAGGGTTGTGTGGAACCCTAGGTTCTTCCAGAGATTGCCAGGGGTTCCTTGAGCTGTAGCTAACTGACCTCCTATCTGATGGTGCCTTAATTCCAGGATGACAACAAATGGGGTGACATTCTGACCACCACAATAGCTTTCATGGAACTGCCAACCAGTGTAAGAAGCATTTCTACCACGGACTCCCAATAAATTTGTATTCGTATGGGATCTTCAAGACTTGCAAATAATTTAAAGGGTTCCTCTGGGGTAAGAAGGTTGTCCTAGACAAAACTGAAGCCTCTAGTCCAAATCATTGGTGGTGAGTGGTAAAAATGTCCCATACATTGGTGGCGAGAGGGAAGAATGTCTTTCTTTCAGTGGTGATCAGCATGCCACCCTTACAGATATCTATAAAGATCACTGGCATCATGCTGCTGGATCTGCCAAGTGGTGTTGGCCCTAGAACTATGCAGACACCACCAGATCAGAGGTCAATCACTAACAGCTGGAGGAACTCCTTACAACTTCTGGAGCAACCCTAGTTGAGAATGTAGTCAGATAATTTGGTACAACTGCCTACTAACTATACAGCATATGGACAACTACAGATGACTCAAAGGAGGAGGGGCAGTACCAGTAGCAGAACCAAGGATCACATGGCCCTTGAATCTTTTTTATTTAAAGACTCTAGTTTCGGAATGAGAATACTAATCACCGAGATAAGAACCAACTTGTTAAAGTTCTGATACAAAGTTTTCATGTCCAACAGAAGTGTATCTTTAACTTCTGGTAGACCTTAAAACACAGTTCAGCTTTTTTGCATTCATTGTAGCGCACAGAACTGAACCGAAATGTCCTATTTTCAAAACTGGCAGCAAGTTGGGAAATCACACGACTGCCGGTGACATTGTGGGAAGCTGTTAAAACTGTGAGGCATGAATAATTGAGGAATTGTCCGGCAGATCCGTTAAGTGCTTGTTAAACCTTCGGCTAACACTGAGCTCCTTATGGGGAGAGCTTACTCCGAGCTCTACCAACAAACTCAACGCACTGCCTATTAGCAGCGCCGGTGTTAATTTGTTGCTTAAGCTTTACTTGCCGGATGGAAGGATTGAAGCAATAGCTCTGCTCTTCAATTACCCAGAATATAGCAACGCCATCCTAAATCTGTCATCAATCATAATCCCGTTCCTTCTGCCTGACATCTTATCATAAGTGTTCATGTAGAAAGACTACCTTTACTCGCTCCTTATTTTCATTTCGTAATGACTTCATCGCAGCTACAAAGCTCATTTCATTTGCATATATTGTAAGACATAAAAAAAATATTAGCAGCTCTGCCAGTAAAAGTGCAATACCGAATTATTTTACGGGCTTAAGTAGTCAATTCTAAAAAAAAAAAAATGGAGGCCCCCACTGGTTTATCTCTCTTGGGAAATCTGGTGGTGAGAACTCGGCATTTTGCTTCTCAGCTTGGCCCATTTGTGGTGGCTATTACAAAGGGTAATGGCATTGGATTTTTTCATTTTAAAGGCTCAGCAGGCTCCACTCAAAGAGACCCTGTTGCCAACTTAAAAAATTACAAATAAAAGCACAAAGAAAAATCAAGAATTGCAAATGCTTATTTTCAATGTTTTTCCTTTCCATAAGTGATTTTTACTGGCTTGGAATGCACCCCTAAACTTGCTAGGAAATTGAATTTCTGGGAGTCAAGTCAGTTCCTTAGCACCTACTCCTCCCTTCCTGCAAGCTGTAGCCCCCTCTTCTTTTAGGAGTGTCTAATTAGGTGGGCGTATGAATGCATTGAGAAACAAAAATATATTGCTTAACCTCCCTGGGGGTATGATTATTTCAGATTTTTGGTGCTGAAAGCGGTACCATTTTTTTGCATGGAAATATGTATTTTTTTTATTGTAGGCCTGTAATTTAGGAATAACTCACTGAAATCTGTCCGAACAAGAATCTAGTAAACATCCCGGGTATCATAAAATTTGAAACACAAAATCATAAATTATAATTTAATAAATAATCATAAAAAATAAATAATATAATAATAATACATTTAATTAAATAATATAATCAAACCAAAAACACTGAAATTTGAAATACAGAGGCAAATTCGCACATCGCTGAGCTAAGTCGCAGAATCGTTTTCAGTGTCTGATGACAAATTCCCCCACAAATCATTGGCCCCCCGCCCTGGTTCTCTCCAGCACTGCCCTCTTTTCTCTGGAACTCCAGTCTGTGGAGAGCCCCTTAGCATCGTCATGTCCAATGCAAGGCTATTAACCCCGTACTGTAACATTGTATGTGGTGGGCAAGCAAGTGACCATCAACAGCTTAACGATAAAGCAGTGTTGGATGGGTTGCGCCACTGGAGGGGCCATAGTGGAGTGTGGAATAGGGTATTTGTAGACCTAACAAGCATGTAACCAAGCTTTGGCCTGCTTGTCCGGGGCTGCCCTTTCCTCTGTACCCCAATAGGGTAAGTAATAATGCTTGTTTCTATACTCCCTAGATCAGCAGTAGCAACCTTCACCCCTCAAGAATGCTTTCAAGAATTCCTTCACCTTGCATAGGTGCTTCAATGTCAATTGCTTGTTTTTTTATGACAGCTGTACTATTGAAGAGAAATTCCAAAACATGGTCTGTTGGCGATACTTGAGGACAGAGGGTGGCAGCCACTGCCCCAACAAGAATTTACCCTTTACATTGGAAGGATATAATTGAAGAGTAGATTTGGTCTAATTCTCCAAAGCTGGGCTGTGCAGTCTTTCATATAAAAGTTGTACATTCACACTGCCCCCCCCCCCCCCCCTTCCATATTTATTTTTATCTATTTTGCCTATATCTATACAGGACAGCCTAGAATTTGCTAACCTACAAACGGCCTGACCTCATACAATGCGCACTTAAGAGCTGGAAGACAAAGAACTAATTACTCTCAGCAATCTGCTACATCGCTAACCAATAATGGAGAGTATGCGGCCAATATAAGAATCGGTTCCATTACCCAAACTACACAGACAAGCCGCGTTCACAGATCAGAGTCTTCAGTAAATCACCGGTCTCCATGGCAACCGCTTCGGCGGTCCAGCTGTCCATCAGCGTCCATCACACGCACAACACGCAAATCCCGGGAGGTTAATCTGGCAGGAGCGGCGAGCCGGCATGCCGCGAGGTGAGCTGGTGACGGGGCTTTTTTCTCCACTCGCGCTCGGCAGGTTATTGGCACATTGGCTCCATTCTGCCATACACAAATCACCTCATTAAATTTCATCAGTTTCATGAATTTAACATTGTCCCTCGACTATTGTTTGTCTGGAAATTAGATTAAAACAACTGTTTTCTCCTCTCCCTTTTTCCCACACACTTGACTATGAGTGGCAAATCAAATAACGGTCTTAACCCCTTCCCGCTCCGCCGCAATCTGATGCAAATTAAATATAAGAAAAAAAAAAAAAAAAGGAACTGGACACTTTGATAGAGTAGAAAAATGAAACAAAAAAATATTGGATTTTTATTGTAAAAGAGACATCGTATAGGCCATAGCGCAAAAAAAAAAACAAAACGCTGCAATGCATTATACCAACACATTGCAGAATGCGCGTCATGTGATCTGATTTACGCACTGGTGTGAGCGAGACCTTACCGATCCGGTGACAAACCGCTACAGGAGATGTATGCTACAGTTATGGGCCCTTTCACGCTGATGCATTTTTACCTCATTAACCTCCCTGGCGGTATTCCCGAGTGTAGCTCGGGGTAAAGTTTCAGTACCACAAGCGGTAACCCCGAGCTACACTCGGGAATACACTGCGGCACTGCTCCACGATCCCTCGATCACTTACCCTGTCCTACGCTCCCGCGATGTGTCCCCCCTGCAGTGTCCCCGGCAATGTCCTCCGGCTGATGCCGGCGTCCGTCTTCCGGGTTCCGTTCCCTGCGAGCGTCGGGACGTACGGGGGACAAAAACGGCAGGAAATTTGAAAATGACAAAAAGTGACATTCACTCAATACACTAAAATCACATAGTATAACATTCCTGTATCAAACCATTTCACATACATTTTGTCCCGAGTGCTTTGTCCGGCGCCCTGCCTGCATTTTTACTGTTCTTTCTGCCTGGAAACTGAGAAATGTCCATGGCGTCCAAAAAGCGTCCCTTTAGGTCAGACGCGGTTTTAGACCGGCTAGAGAACAGCGATAGTAAATCAGAACCACTTGCAGAATTGAGTGATAATGATTCGTGGGGGAAATTCCTCATCAGACACTGAAAACGATTCTGCGACTTTGCTCAGCGATGTGCGAACTTGGTGCTATATTTCACATTTCAGTGTTTTTGGTTTGATTATATTATTGAATTAAATTTATTATTATTATATTATTTTTTATGATTATTTATTAAATTATAATTTATGATTTTGTGTTTCAAGTTTTATCATCCCCGGGATGTTTACTAGACTCTTGTTCGGACAGATTTCAGTGAGTTATTCCTAAAAATTACAGGCCTACAATATAAAAAAAAAAATACATATTTCCATGCAAAAAAATGTACCGCTTTGAGCACAGAAATATGGACATAATCAGACCGCTAGGGAGGTTAAAAGCGCAATAAAAACACTTCCCTATGAATCCTATAGGACTCTTCACACTCTTGCGCTGTGAATGTGGTGAGTATTGAACAGTCCTGCATGCTGCATCTTTGGTGAGCTATTCAAAACCGCACCAAAAACACAGCTCTCCATTGAAATGAATGAAAAATGCATCAAAAACATATATTAAAAAAGCACACAATGTGGTGTATTTTTTCCATGTTTCACAGGTTCATGCTGAGTCTCGCACCCGGAAAAAGCACTGCAAATGCATCATGAATGCATATGCAGAGCAATGTGAAAGCAGCCCAAGACTGCATGACCATTAAATCCTATGGAATTCTTTAAACCAGTCAGTTGCTATTTGAAAAGTGCTGCATTTTTGGTGCATTTTTAAAATTGTACCTCCCCACTGAAATGCAATGAATAAAAACACATCCAAACCACACCCGTGATTGCATTTTTGGTGCTACATATACAAGTTTCACAGGTGCATGCTGGGTAATAGGTACCCAGAAAATGCATCAAAAATGAGGCAAAAATGTATTTTTACCGCGTTTTTGCAGTGGAGCAGCATGAAAGAAACCTGAACTCATTCATACTGGGCTTTAAAATGCCACTTTTAAAAGGTGTTTGGTTATTTTTTTAAGGGGGGGGGGGGGTTGCATGAAAACACATTGCCTATGCACACACAGGCATTTGCAGGCGTATTTGAGGTTTATAAAATACATCACCTGTGCGCTCAGGAGAGGATTGCTTGGGCAGAAAAATCACCAAATACTAGATGCGTTTATGGGCAGCACAGTGGCTAAATGGTTAACACTTCCGCCTGGCAGTACTAGGGTCGTTGGTTCAAATCCCAGCCACGGCACCACCTGCCTGGAGTTTGCATGTTCTCCCAGTGCCTGCGTGGGTTTTCTCTGGGTCAGGGGCGGACTGACAACTCATGGGCAATAGGGGATCATGGGTCATGGGTCCCCCGTGTCCTTGCCCAAACTCAAAAAAGCCTATGAAAAAGGTACCAGGGGCATCTCATGGGGCCCCCTACTGACCCCGGGCCCTCGGGCAGTGCCCGAGTTTCCAAATGGTCAGTCCACCCCTGCTCCGGGTATTCCGGTTTCCTCCCACACTCCAAAGACATGCTGGTAGGTTAATTGGATCCTGTCTAAATTGACGCTAGTATGTGTATGTATGAATGTGAGTTAGGGACCTTAGATTGTACGCCCCTTGAGGGTTAGGGACCTTAGATTGTACGCCCCTTGAGGGTTAGGGACCTTAGATTGTACGCCCCTTGAGGGTTAGGGACCTTAGATTGTACACCCCTTGAGGGTTAGGGACCTTAGATTGTACGCCCCTTGAGGGTTAGGGACCTTAGATTGTACGCCCCTTGAGGGTTAGGGACCTTAGATTGTACACCCCTTGAGGGTTAGGGACCTTAGATCGTACACCCCTTGAGGGTTAGGGACCTTAGATCGTACGCCCCTTGAGGGTTAGGGACCTTAGATTGTACGCCCCTTGAGGGTTAGGGACCTTAGATTGTACGCCCCTTGAGGGTTAGGGACCTTAGATTGTACGCCCCTTGAGGGTTAGGGACCTTAGATTGTACACCCCTTGAGGGTTAGGGACCTTAGATTGTACGCCCCTTGAGGGTTAGGGACCTTAGATTGTACGCCCCTTGAGGGTTAGGGACTGATGTGAATGTACAATATATATGTAAAGTGCTGCGTAAATGGACGGCGCTATATAAGTACCTGAAATATATAAATGCACACACGGTAATGCATTCTAATGGCCAGAATAAATGATTATCCTGCCAGCTCTAGTATTATTACGTGAGACCTGGAGCAGTCTTTGACAGCTCCGTCACTATGCTGGGAGCAAGCAGCGAGCATGCTCTCAGCACACAAACCTCAGCTGCTCATTAACGTACATGTGCAGCGTGTGGGCATTAAAGCCCCACCCCCTTTGCTAGCGCACATGTGCGTTATGTGAGGTTAAACAGGCAACACTTGAGTCCTATCCACACTCTTACATTCAAGGCCATTTAGAAGAAAAGGAATACCGGCAACCCACTGCAATTCTACACGCGGGGCGGCCAGCTGCAGAAGACGAATGCTGCCGCGTAGCCGCCTGCAGTCTCACACACCAGCTTCAGACCGTTTAACAAATTACGCTGGCTGTGTTTTATAGTCTTACTCATAATTTTGCCATTTCAACTTGAAAACCACAATAAGCACAATATCTGCTGGCAACGACTTACTAGCGATCATAATTATAAGCATAACAAGGAGCGGGCTCAGCGCAGCAGCGGGGACGCTGTCACAACCGGAAATCGAATTTCGCAGCCAGACAGTAATTGCAATAACCTAATAAAAACGACAGTTTTACAAAGTGCTTTTTAGCGGACATTTCACAGAACTGTTCTGACATCCCGGGACCAAATGAACGGCTGAGTCAAAGAGCTGACACCTTTTAGGCTCCATTCACATCAAAGTGTAGTGCTTTTGTGCATTTTTGCATGCGCTTTCAAACGTTTGTGCGCGATTTGTTCAGGCGTTTGAGCTTTTTGAGTTCTGGCGTTTTTGAATTAGCCAATAGAGAAAAATGTAATCTGTGGCATCAACTGTTGCCACGCCAGAAAAACAATCTTGGTTGCACGGCAAAACATGCACACGGGCATCAAAGCACGCAATTTGCGCATTTCCTTGTATTTCTGTGGGAATAAAAACGTGCCAAAATGCATCAATCTGCTACAAAAGTAGCTCCAAAACTTTTTTGAGCTTCAGGCGTTCTGCTTCAGGCAACTTTGAGTGGAGATGTGAACCAACTCCATAGAGTAATACTGATTTTTTTTTTTCGCCCTGAGCGTTTTGGAGCTACGAGCTAAAAAAACACTGTGAATAGGTCCTAATACGGCCAAACTCCCTGGCCAACCTTAAGGTGACCACACAACTTGGTTTCACAAAAATGCTCAGGTGTGAATAGGTCCTAATACGGCCAAACTCCCTGGCCAACCTTAAGGTGACCACACAACTTGGTTTCACAAAAATGCTCAGGTGTGAATAGGTCCTAACACGGCCAAACTCCCTGGCCAACCTTAAGGTGACCACACAACTTGGTTTCACAATCTTTAGATCCACCACCAACTATGTAATGCAAGGACCTAACACGTAATATATTAAATAAAAAGGATGTATACTCACAAACCAACGTGAGCTCTGACAGAGCTCTGAGGAACGGGGTTCAGCTCCCGAAACGCGTCAGCTTATCCGCATCATTAGACACAGATGCATTGTGACTGTTTTTGTGGATCACCTATACTGCCCATTATCACGTTGGTTTGTGAGTATACATCCTTTTTATTTAATAAATTACGTGTTATACCACGGTAATGCACGATGAGAGTGCGCCCTTGTTTGTTTTTATTCACCAGTGGTCAGATTTCCTGATCTCAGAAGGGCAGCACCTCTTTGGTTGGCATTTGACAAATCCCTTGGTTTGCATGAAGATTGGAGCGCTGGTTTCGTTTGTTTTTCTTTTGTAATGCAAGGGCCTGCCTGATTTGGTAAGAATTACATTGGTCAGGAATGTCCTATTATATAGTATTTTTTTATTTATTATTACAGGTACTTCTATAGCGCCATGAATTTGCGCAGCGCTTTACATACATATTGTACATTCACATCAGTCCCTAATCCTCAAGGGGCGTACAATCTAAGGTCCCTAACTCACATTCATACATACAATACTAGGGCCAATTTAGACAGGAACCAATTCACCTACCAGCATGTCTTTGGAGTGTGGGAGGACACCGGAGTAATCGGAGGAAACCCACGCAGGCACAGGGAGAACATGCAAACTCCAGGCAGGTGGTGCCGTGGTTGAGATACGAACCAACGACCCTAGTACTGCCAGGCGAAGTGCTAACCATTTAGACACTGTGATTTTTTTCTTATTTATTTATTTTTAAAGGGCATTATATTCTATTTAATTGCCCCTTTTGGAGATGCACCGCGCTGCATAGGGTAAAAGATAGACAAAGGCAATACAGATGTATGACGGTCTGCACAACATGCTAACTTCTCTGCTCTTCATCTCATTCACACTTCCTGCTCTGGCCATCCATCCGGGGCCCCTCTGGGCCAACCTCTCTTACTGCTCCTGAATCCCTCTGCATTGTGCCAGTCACTTAATTACTGCCACCGAGAAGTTGAATAGTCGGGCAGAGAAGACATGCAGTTGCTGTAGAAACCTAGAATGTCGAAACACAGGGGATTTGGTAATGGCTGCCTTTCCAAACCGCTAATCACTCATCCTATCCTTTTCCTGCCGCAGCTCGGGTTTAAGGAACAAACATTTGCTGGGACAACACAAACGAACACCCACTAGGAGTCTCAGCAGCCTTTGATGAAGCACCTGTCTTGTTACCGATATTAATTTTAGACTTGATTACAGCAAAGTACCAGTGCTGTGTCCGATTCGTCAAGGAGTGGCCAAGCTGATGAAGCACTGGACAAAAACGTTCGGGA